AGGGTAGTGATCAAACCAATAAGGAAAGGGTTCTTGATCGAGCCGAGAGCTTGGAAGAAGGTAGTACCGAAGTAGAAGATGAAGTTGACACCGGTCCACTGTTGCATCATCTGAAGGGAAGTACCGAGAATGGTTCTGCGGAGGTTGGAGCCTGGGTTGCTGAGTCCTCCCTTGAAGCAGTTCATCCATGAGCCAAAGTAACCGGTTTGGGGAATGACGGACATTTCGTATTCATGGTTGGCGATGATCTCGGTAAGTTCTTGTTGAATGTAATCGCTTCCTTCTGGTTCACCTCTGAGACGAGCAAGGTTGGCAGCGGCCTGGTCGAGCTTGCCCTTCTTGACGTAATATCTTGGGGATTCAGGAAGGAAGAAGAGACCACCACCTAAGATAATAGCCCATGCCATTTGAAGACCAATTGGAATTCTGTAGGAACCAGTATCGAGACGGTTTTGGGTACCATAATCGACACAAGATGCGAGGAGAAGACCGATGGTAACGCAGAACTGGTAACCAGAAACTAAAGCACCACGAACCTTCTTGGGGCAAATCTCGGACATGTAAAGAATGATGGTGGCGGAAACGAAACCAACACCGAAACCAGCGACCAAACGACCAGCGACGAGAAGACCAAGACCAGTAGAAGCAGTTTGCAAGATGACACCGATGATGAAGATGAGACATCCGAGGATGACGGTAGTTCGGCGACCAATCCAATCAGCCATATCACCGGCAAGGATAGCACCAAAGAAGGTACCGGCAGAGAGAATAGATGTGATCAAAGATTTATCCGAAGCAGGAAGAACGAAAGCAGCTTTCTCGGCAGCTGAAGCACCAGGACCGGGAATTGGTTTGCCAGTCTGAAGGGTAGTAGGTTAGCTAATGTTTTGGGATATGGAGTAATTGAAGTCGTGACGTACATATAAATTAATGAAATAGTTCATTCCCATGACACCAGAGATATATCCAGAATCATAACCAAAGAGAATACCACCGAAAGAAGCAAAAGCACACATCATGTATGCCTTTACTGTTACGGGTGCCTCAATACGGGCGACATCCGTGGTTCCAGCCAATCCCGCTGTCATTGTTGCGGTTGACTTGAAATGTATGTGAGGGAAGAGAGAGGGGGAAAGGATAGAGTAGGTGTAGAGTGAAGCTGGCACTCGGGATCAATTATTGATCGAAGAAGTATTGAATAGACTTTGTTGATGAGACTGATGGAGAGAAAAAGATGTATTTGGGAGGGATTTCGAGTCCCTTTTGTATCTGTGTCCCATGGGAATTGGGGCACTGGGGTACGGAGTGAATTGGCATGGTTTACACGCTTGTATGGGGTGGTAGCGTTAGTACGGCCATGTCGCCAAAAAAGTCTTCCATATCGAATTGACTCCAGATGGAGACGCCGCACTCCACAGCAAATAGCGTTACCCCATGTCTTCGATGATCTCTCTCCAGACATCTAGACATGCATGCAGCTATGGCCCAGCCGAGGAGTTAGTCCGTGCGTGCAGTACCCCGAGTAATCGGTCCGTCTTTGTAAGGGATCAAGACTAACTATACTAGGGACGGAGAAGAGTGTGAAAGTAGATAGGGAGTGGACTAGGTAGCATCCTCGGTTTTTTGGAATAATGTTTGATGAGGTGCGAGTATCATTTGGCGGTAAGTATAAAAGTATAAATGTGCTAACAGTATCGAGTTAGACAAAGTATGTGATCGATTGGTTGATCAAGGTATTGTGTAGTGCTAGATGCTTAAATCAGTCCTTGAGTGAAATCTAATGAAATCTAATGATTATTAATTTTCTTTTTTTGCTTTCTCATCTCATTTGCTGAAATGAAGGATTTGAAATTTCTTCTTTCGGGATTGCCCCCCCGTTCATGGTGTGTGCTGGTTGGATAGATCCAATCCTGTGGTTCGTACCATTCAAACTAACACTCGTGGAAGGGGAGATCACGAGTCTAATTGGCTTTACTGATAATTGATAAAATCGATTTTAACGATTTATGCAATTACAATAATCCTAACTACCAATTTCTCTCAACGGTATAGCCGAGAGATGCTTAATGAGAATCATTCTGGCCCCTCCACAAACTTTGGATCTGGAGAGTTTGATGCACTTGAGATCTCTCGAGCCTCTTTCGTGGCAACTTGGAGTCAGATGTTCCGTACGCCAGCTTATGGATCTTCAACAGTAACGTTGTCGAAGAACATTGCAACAGCAATAAAGATATGCACGCTCGAGGCAAAGTACGTACATAATTGACCGAATTTCATAAATATATCAGATATCCTAGCTGAGGATCATTTCATGCATCAACCCCCCATGTTCAAGACTTCAGAGGCAATGGAAGTCAAGCCATCGACGTGATCAATCATCATGTATGAAACTAATTCGGCTTAGTACAAGCAGTTGTTGTTCCTACATACTTCAATCTAATTAATGGCTTGGGGGAAAAGATACCTTGATTAGAGTTACCCATCTATCTACCTAGGGACTTCCTCGTAATTGATCGATACTGAAAACCACATCATTACCAATGTAGTCTGAATTCTGGGACAAGTCCATTACGAGCGCTTTCGAATCAAATGATCAATTCATTTTTAAATCCAAGCTTCTGGGGCGAGGTACCGGTAGGCCTTTGCGGCTTCATGGGATTTGATATTTTTTGATGGAGTGTGGGAGACTGAAAAGTGTCAAACATGTAGCGGCGTCGGCTATTAGTGTCACTTTGAGTGCATTAGTATTAACTTTGTAGGGAGTCGGGACTGAGCCACATTGCTCCAGCATTTATTTTAGTGTTAAAACTAACTTATTTGATGGAGAACCAATTTTTTTATGGGATTTGTAAAGCATTTTAGTGCCTGATGTAGAGTTTACAGTCTGGATTTTACGGGCAAATCCGTTGACTTGTTCTGGAATCTTTCCACGTCCCTATACTCGAGTATTATTAGTAAATAGTCTAGAGGCTTCAAGTTTTAGATCGAGTGTCATGTGAAGGCAAAACAAGTCTAATATGTCTGGACTCGGCGGTGGACGGTAGATTCTGGGGATTGTAAGTACACACAGTACTCGAGTACACACTCTCGTGGTTTAATCATACCTACCTACCTCCAGCTATGTCTGCAAATTTTCTCAACATTTTACCCATAGATTAGATTAAGCTGTCAAGGAACCCCGAATATGAGCTATCAACGAAATAAGAATAAGAAATGAAATAGCCCGAAGAATATCCCAATTCCGGCACAAAATACCCGTGATTCTCCAAATTGCCCTGGTGACCAGTGACTGATCACTAGTGACCACGTCCACGTCCACGTCCACGTCCACGTCCAACTTTGAATGGAGCCATTGGTGATTGGGCCCCTTCACCCATTGTTTGCTTGCAGGCTCGGGTGTACCAGCTTGAAAAAAAAAACGTGTTGTGATTCTTGGCACGTCGACCCCCGGCCTTGTAAACTGCTTGGCTGCAATGTTAAACGCCGAGTGAGGACGTGTTTCCTGGTTATGGCGCTGGGATAGTGTCAGATATTGAGATTGCGATGAATTCCGTTTGTGATGGCGTCTATTGACTCTATTCACGTATTTGAAGTCATATGATTTGAGATTAGAGATCTTGGTATTGCTGTCGTTGGAGTGTAGAGAAGTAGATGAATTAGAGTTCATATAACGTTATTCATCCTTCCTTATATCATATTATATTAATCGTCAATACTGGTCAACGGTACTTTGTTCCGCGGAGAGAGAATCATAATGTGAGATGTGAGTACGAGCTACCTAGGTAGCTATAGGTATCTTCCTCTTTGTTTGTTTCCATCTTTTCCATTTTCCATTTTTCCTACCTATTCTATCCAATTTTCCTGCTCGCCTTTCCTTCCTTCTTTTCTTTCGCTCTACTATCGAAAACCCACTCAGTCATCCCACTCATCTCCGATATAGATAGGTAGTAGCTACTAGGTACATACTCTTTCCTGCTTTTCCCACATTTACTCCAGAGTTCACACACTCCAGAGTCCAGAGAGAAGAAAGGAACAAGAACCCCCCAGGTTCCCCACTCCCCGCTTTCCTCACAAATACGACACAACCCAAACTCCGTAGACAACATTCCTACTTTAAAGCAAAGGAGATATCCGCATTTACGCATAAGCATATGGAGGTAATCGGCCCTTTAGCATTCTTGCTTCAAATTTTCAATAACCCCAGGGCCCCGTATGAATCTGTCGTATCCACTTCTACATCTCCAGACCGTATTATTAGTTTCTCCACTATTCATTCCCCTGTCCCCCCAACATTCTACTTTGCAACACCACACCACGAGTGCAGGACCTCAAAACATTCGTGTTTTTTTCATGTCGTCGGCCGAGACCCCCGCTCCACCTCTTACTCAGGGTTGGGAATATGTCACGGGATAAAAGCTGACAATATTTGTACTCGAAACAGTATCAGCTTTCACGAGTGTGTTACGAGCCTTACGAGCTGAATGAATGGACCGATGATTGATGATTGATGATATGAGGCTGGATGACTGTATCACTCATTCATAAGCGCCTCCAAGCTGAAGTCTAGAGACATTCTGATCTGAACCGATATAAAATCATGCCATCTCACTCTATATTTTTCGGGCGGTTTGTAAAGCACTGTCTGTGCTGACAGTACCTTGGATAATCGGATTTGGTTCAACCTTACCGCCATACATCCTTCTCCTTTGGAGCCAGCGGCATATATGTTCCAGTTCCCGTTCACCGCAGCAACGCCGATTGGACGGTGAGGTTTTATCCTTTTACAAAATGTAAGTGTTTTCCGGATATATAATCTTCCCTTTCCCCTTACCAGCCACAAATCTTTATTCGCTCTGAAATATCGCGAGATCTAGAGTTGAAGCTTTGAATCAATAAATCATGTTAATCCACAACAACGTCGGCACACGACATAAGAAGGGGAGAAAATTCAAACGTGGGACCAGGGGATACAAAAGAAGCTCCAAGCTTCGATCCAAATTATGCCCCTTCATCTGGTGGCGTGGCGCCTCCGGCTATCACTTGCGGATATTGGTTTACGTATTCTACCGATTATTTTCCTTGGTAAAGGTGGGCGTCGGGACTCGGAAGAATGGTTGCGATATCTTTTAGTCACGGGAAAGGCTAGAAGTAGAATGGGCTGGAGACTGAAATATGATCTAGAATATCTCAATAGCTTCTCGGTCTTCTTTCTCCTATCCCAAGGAACTCTGTGGAAGTACGCAAAGTCGCGATTATTCGCCAGTGCGATGTCAGGTAAGTAATGCAAGCGAGTTACCATTCGATTTACCGACCGTTCAACTGTTCTTCATCAAATTGAAATCTTCACATGTAAAGTATTCGTTGCTTGCTAACTCACTTCTTTGTTTTGACCGATTATTACATTATCGCAATCGAAGCATCACAGCATCAATGACACGACTTTGAAAATGTTCCTATCTATCTTCCGAGTTCAGCTGTATCTTGTTCGGGTAGAGGACAGTAACGTTGCGAAAAGTCCGGACGTACAAGAACCATGGCGCGGTGCACAAAGCTGTTCTGGAAGAAACGAAGAAGCATAGGAAACAAGATAACGATCAATAGACAAGTACAAGTACGTCGGATCTACGGTAGGATATGACATCAAGTGCTTCGATTATCGATGCTGTCTTGTGGTCGCAGTACAAAGTCAACACTACATTCTACTGCGGATGACCGGGAAGACTCGTGCAGTACTATACTGCGCTTCGATAAACTGCTCATGGAGACCGTAGTGCTCTCTGTGTACTCGGTGTAATATATTCTTAGTTCAGCGTGGATGACGCAAGGAAGGTTTATATGAGGGAATAAGGTACTCTGATATTAATATATCCAATGGTCACCTTCCACATGCTATATGAACGCAGAGAGTTGGCGTTTGAGTTGCATTGTGTTGATTGCGATCAGCCTATACCTTGGCAGACAAATCGTATTGGCAGTACAACGCGCGGGAACTCTATGTTACGAGCGGAGATGCCGAGTTGATCTGTGGGGCAACTATGAATGTTGTCATATCATACTCTTTCGACGTCCCTCGAAATTCTTTGCCGGTTTCGAAAGATGGATTATGGATTTTTTGTTCAGGTATTTCCAAGCTATAAATACAGTATCCGAGGATACGCGGTACCCTATCCTCAAACATACTCTCAAACATACTCAAATCTCGTTGCCTGTACCCACAAGGTGTTGAGCGAGCCACAAGTACTAGCTTAGTGTGTGTAACAATTCAAATTCTCGTTCTTCCCTTTGAGATATCCTAGTTTCAAAGTGAGATCTTTTCCCTTCTGCTGTTCTGCGCTCTTGGGTACCACTGTCATTGTTAGTCTCTCCATCTTCATCCTTCTCTATTTTTGTGATCATGATAAAAATTAGCTACCGGGGCATACTGTTATATTCGAAATTCATATTTTAATTACATTATTTTTGCAGGCAATATACCTATGACCAGTGTAGACAATAGTATTTCCCGTATTTCGTACATGGGCTAGTTTAATGATGCGTATTGATTTTTTTCAAAATATATATATACGTAATATTAAATTCGATACTACTAAAGATATTCAATATTATTTAAACTTTCGATATTATTAGTAATATACTAAAGTATTGGAATTCAATATAAAATATGTATTCCTATTTATATTAAATAATAAAATTCTATTCTTTATTTCAAATCAAATTAAGATCCCTTAGTTCTAACCTAATTTGGTATAAAATAAATAATTTATATTGAATCCTAATATTTCAATATATTGTTAGTATTTTTTAGATATATAAATATATATAAAAGTAGTATAACCTTTTTTCTAAATGTATTAACTGCAATATTAATATGTTAATATGCGCCACAGTTTTATTGTAGTACACTATTGCCTATACTGCCTGTGACTAATAAATCTATTAGATCTCGGCTTCCGATGTCCGTTACTGTTACATCCTAATAGATTCATCTTTTCACATAGCCCTGCTACCTCATAGCTTCATCCTCGTTAGCAATTTTGCCATCATCTCAATCTCTAAAGCTATCAAGATGACTTCACGCAAGGATTTCATAGAGTGTGAATTGTTTGGCCCACAGACCCTCTCTATAAAGATCTATCATAGTATTGATTGTGACCCACTTCATCTGTTTACATCAGTCTCATGCCAGTTTATTGCTGATAATTTCATTTTTTGACACAGCAGAGGGAAAGTATCATTGCCATATTCGTTTAGTTGTCAGCACGTTCAATTACAATATCTTTCCTCTTGCTGAAAGCATATTGATACATGTGTACGACTTTCCGTCTCATTCCTTCACTTTCATCTTCCGATATCGCTTCTCTAAACTTGAATCTTCGGTTCGACGGTATAAACACGAATGATCCTCTCGATATTATCCATCTACTTCATGATAAATATCTTTCGCAGTTCCCTATTTCCGTGTGAGAAAGAAAGAAAAATGAAGGAACTGGCTCGACTTATATACTTTATCTCGGGCTTGGGATCCATATCTTCGTGTGAATGAGTATAGGAGAGCGAATTTATACTTTGAACTTTGAACTTTGAACTTTGAAGATGGATGTGGGCTTGTAGATTATGCAATTGGGAGTTGGGATGGGGATGGATATATATATCTGCTCTCTGATGCGGTAAAATTTCAAGAGAGTTGGATATAGCAATTTATTGAACAGTCAAGGAGGAGGATCTGCGGTTTGAGGGGATTGGGGTTGAGAGGTTTCAGAGTTGAAGAGTTTTGAGAATTTTGCTGAATGGTATGTCAGCTAGGAGGAGCAGATATGTATTTTTTTTTTGGCGTGGTTTAGCGTTGCTCACTACTTTTTGCTTGTTGCTGATTGTTTTGTTGTTAGGGTAGATTTTAGGAGTCTTATTGCTGAACTGTAGGTTGATTGGTATAGTTTATATTTTCTTTGACTTACCTACCTAGGTATCTATTGTAAGTTGGTGTCTCTTCTCATACTCGATCAAAGAATGTCAGCGATATTGTAGAAGTGTCACTGGAACATACATGTTCCGATACACACTCATGCTTACATTGTCTGCTATATATCATGAAATCGATTTCATCAGGAAATATAACAAGTTAAATCAACCGTGTTGATACATGCTTCAGTCGAAACCTTCCTTCCAACGTGTTGTATTCACGTACCTATTCAGCAGAGTGAGCAAATCATCCTGAATTCCTCACCTTCGCTCCAACTTCGAAGCTTCAAACCTCTAGCAGAAAAATACACGACTTCCTATAAATCATCATGATTTCTCCTCATTCCCATCTAAAGTAAACATCGACAACTACTCAAGACTACTTCCAGCAAGAAGGGCGGGGGTTTGTCGAATCACATAGTATTCTAGAAGGTTGTCTTGGTAGAAAGATCTTGATATAATGGATGATTGTAAGTGTGTGTGACTTCATCTCACTTCATCAGATTGGGGATTGGGGATTGATTATCGTTGTTGGCGATACTTGTTTTCATTGATTAGAGTATAGATGAGAATACTGTTATCTCTTATGAATCTGTGGTGTCCAAAGTTACTATATATAGGCTTAGCTACTTCTGGATGAAATTGAATCTGTCACTTTTGTTACATGAGATATCATGTAACTTAGTACCTCAATCAAAATCTCTGGTCTCCCACACCCATACTCCCACATGCCGTTGTTTTTAAGTGTTGGTTAGTCTTCTTCCTAATGAAGGGATTTTCGATATATATAATTCAGTATTCCTTGTCCTTTCTCGAATTTTCACCCTTGTTTTTGCGAATTATCACTGGTCACTTGTGAAGTTCTTGGTTCAATAGTATAAGAGAATCAATACCTTACTGATCTTTTTAACATCACATCTCTTGATCTGATGAGGGTATTCATAACATGGGAGAAATCTGTGTACCTACCTGAAGACACACAGCAGAGAATGGATCGAGAATCTATGAGCTTGGGGAAGAGCTGAGCGCAATAGAAATTCAGAATCTGCTTACTGTCGCCAGTTTTACCGCTGTCGTCGTTTTCTTCGATGGGATATCTTATCATCTGAAACTCTCGCGTTGTTGATGAAAATTCTGTCGCTCGAGAATGGACTTTGCGTTCCTTCGTCCGAGTTTGATGCTTATCACCTTATTATTATAGCTGGCATCTATCCAGCAAATTTCTCATTATATGTATGATCAACCAGAACTCCGTACGTCAATGGCTGACAAGTTATCTTGACAAAGAACATTTGCCGGTTTGATATGTGTGTTCTTATACTTCACAAGTCACAATAGCATCAGATTCAAGACCGAACCTCCTTCTCGTTTACTACAGGTGTCCTTGCGAAAGTATCACAATATTCTACTCTGATGAGTCGCGTCCTCATCAAGCTCCCAAGTGTCCAATTCCCACACTCATGCAGAAATGTGATACCTGATAAACATCTTCCTTTAACATCCTTTCGATTCCTCAGAGACACAAACTTCATTGCCTGGAAGTTTAGATTCGGAAGGGATAACTATCAGGTCATTCGGAGCCCAAAAACCAAACCACTGGTTCATAGGATCTTAGCGATAGTAAGATGGACGAGTTTCTTTGCTCATTTGTTTGTTGCCCAATCAAAGCCAGCGTTGCCATTTCAGAGCGGTTTTCTCATCATCATCTGCTTTGAACTTATTCACGTAGTTTTCATTTGTACCAGATCCTTGACCTCAGAGACTGTCTCGAGATATCAAGGAAGAAATCTCGACATGGAATACTCTCCCGCTTCTTTTCTCTCTGTCCTGCGTTCACTTGTGCTGATGGCCTGGCCTTATAATTTGAAAGATAACTTGGATTTTCGGAGGCGAAATTTTATACTTACAGAGTGCAAGTCAGTCGCATGTCTTACATTATTTCTCTCTCACACTCGCACAGCACGCGACCTATATAAAAGACTAGTATTTTCCTATCAACTTTGCTATTTGAGTCTGCCTGCATGATTTTCACTTGAAAAGATATATAAACTGTGTCTTTCAATTCTATGTATTCTATGTACTGTACTCTTACAACAGTGAGCAGGATGTCGCATGTGAAGGCAAAGGATTCTGTCTAACTTCCAGCACTCCGCGTTTGTTTCTACATACTATTCAGGAAACTTTTCTCTTAGATAGACCTGTAAATAGTTGTTTTCTTCATTCGACTTATCTGTCAAATGTCATAAGAAACGACGATATTTTGGAATTCACATTGTTGCCAACATGCTCAATAATTGTCAAATCTAGACGAAAAATAATATCCAGTTCGAATCGACAACAAAATAACCCCGTTCATCTTCAGACTCTGAATACCCCTGAATACCTTCAAGAAATCTCCGGAGCCTCGCAAAGTTATAACAAGTGGCAATATCATCATCAGAGCCAGGAAACTCGGAGGGAACCTCCCAAGGCTTAACTTTCATCGTCTGGTATTTTTGAGGGTTTCAGTGTTGGAATAGATAGTCATTTTATAACAGAGAATCGAATTTCAACCCGACTTCGAAGCTAGGAAACTAGGGAGTACGAGTGAGAATGGATGTATAGTGAATATGGTATTTACCTATCTCCCCGCTACACCCACCGAATTCAACAGGTAGAGATATTCTAAGACCTTCAATGGTGTCTCGTACTAAGTAAGT